CACCGATACCTCCGACTAGACGGTACTACCAAGGTTGAGCAGCGTCAGATCCTTACCGATCGGTTTAACAATGACAACCGTATCCTCGCATTCATTCTGTCTAGTCGTTCTGGTGGTCTAGGCATCAACCTCACAGGTGCTGACACCGTCATATTCTACGATCTGGACTGGAACCCCGCGATGGACAAGCAGTGCCAAGATCGTTGCCACCGTATCGGGCAAACACGCGACGTTCACATCTATCGATTCGTTTCTGAATATACTATCGAGTCGAACATCCTCCGTAAAGCTAACCAGAAGCGCATGCTTGACGACGTCGTTATCCAAGAGGGAGAGTTCACAACGGACTACTTCACTAAACTAGACGTCCGCGATATGATCGACACGGAAGACGTCCTCGAAGGCCACGACGAAGCCAGCGCAGCCATGGATCGGGTCCTCGAGAATCGTGTCGCAGCCAGTGCACGTGTCTTCGAACAAGCCGAAGACAAAGAAGACATTGATGCCGCCAAGAATGCCCAAAAGGAATTGGAGCACGCGGACGACGGCGACTTCGACGACCGCACACCTGGCCAAACCCAGGCCGGCACACCACTGGCGACGGGGCCCACGACGGGGCCCGATGAATCAACAACAGCGGGCACTACTCCCGGTCCGCAATTGCTCACCTCCCCGCAGGTGCATGCGGTTGACGAACCTGTTGACGTCGAGATCCAACCTGGCCATATCGATAATTACCTATTACGGTTTATGGAGTGGAATATGAAGGACGAACCACTTGTTTTACCAGCAGATAAGAGCAAGAAGAAGTCCAAGAAAGGCAAGGAGCATCGGCTCCGTAAAAGGCGTCGTTGATATGAATAAATGGAACAAGACAGAATTCATGCGGCACGCGATTGGAATGGATTGAATCGGTGGAATGAATGTATTGAGAGGCTAACGAATAGACGATCGATCAGGACTGGTCGACGTCTCTATGTAATTGTATTCGCATGATGATATTTTCCTCTGCTTAAAATCTCTCTTCTTCATATATTTCCTTGCCCTTGTGTTTATTCTCTTCTATCTGTCCAGTGCACGCATTGGGATTACTACCTTATTTAAATTTCCTTTTCTCCCTTCTATTTTCTTTTCCCTCTTACTTCTCGATAGTACAAGGTGATGGAAAGATTCATTCCATTGATGATTAGCGGGCGTTTTGCTTTGAAAGAGTATGTCTGGAGACGATAAAATCACCGTTCTACCTATCCTATTTCCCAGAAAGACCCAAGATGAATACTTTGTACATGCTAATACTATTCTTCTCTCCTTATCCCCATCCCTTCTCCCACCTATTAAGAGACGCTCCTGACACTCCATATGTACTTGATTATGATTGGTAAACCACTTTACGATGGCAATGGTACTCTCGGCTCCGATATCGCACCCATATGCTGCCACGAGATTATGACATAAATAGATGGGATAAGAATAGTATAAGGAAGGCCCTAGGGTGACTTTGTAGCTTCCGCTGATTAGTTGAGTAGAGAGAAGAAAAAAAAAATTGACTCATGTTCATTCGTTTTCGTACTCGGTCAGAGATCCCGTGCGTCACAGTCATGACCATGTTTGAGCTTGTCCCGAAGACGTTAATCTGCATAAGGAGCCACTTTCGACTGGTCCAGTCTTCTGGGCTACAGCCACGAGTGTTTCCAATGTCAGGGTCTATTGCCCAACTTGTTGACATTTCCGAATGACGAGAATGACGGGCGTTGAGTGGGTAGCTGAGAGGGTTTATGATGAAACACGGACATCTGTGACGACCCCTGCATATTTTTCCCTCTCTCTCTCTCTCTCTCTCTCTCTCTCTCTGCCTGCCACATGGGTTTTGGCTAGGGCAGGGCTAGTCTCATACATGAATTTTTTTTTTTTTTTTTTTTTTTTTTTTTTTTTTTTTTTTTTTTTTTTTTTTGTGTGGGGGGGGGGGGGGGGGGGGGAGGGAAGGCCAGACTCTTGACACTCGTCTCCGCTGGCTGTGTCACATCACTTCCGTCTTGCATATGGCTGGACCAACAACAATCAGTCCCACGAGTGAGGATGTGCATGTTTTGAAACTCCGCGGATGGAAGTAGTGTTGGTATGAGTGAGGGTGGAGTGATGGTTTCAGTCATGTATATTAATTTGCCGATAGGAGGGTGGAACAAACTCTGAGAGGAAAGTCGTCGGCACCACCTCGATCCAAATTCCTTCGAGGGCTTGTGGAATAATACAAACAGTGAGGAGGAGTAGAAGGAAGGCGAGAGGTCAGTCTAAGGTAGTTAGAGTTTAGATCCACATGTATGTACCCAGTACCTGAAGTCTATTTCTGAAACCTATGCAACTCAGGGCCAATGTGAACGGCTGCTATGTCTGATTAGGCAAGAGAAAAAGTGGCCCCGCGTGCATTACTATCTTAGCATGCAGACTATAAGATGGAAACTGGCTCCATATGATTCGTGCTGCTCAATAGACTAACCCTCTGTGGTCAGGACTGCGAACTGGTGTGCAGAGGAGAGAATCAGCGGAGATAATGCTTGTCTCGGCCAAGTCGCCTCGTGCGTACTTGCCCTGAGTTCCGAACTGAATTGCCTATACCCCCAGAACCTTTGGATACTTCCCCATCTTAGAAAGTTCAGATAGAGCGATGTGCGTACCATGGAACGCCGTTGATTGCGGGACTTAGGGGCTACCGCACTGCCGAGTGACTGAATAATCTGTGAAGAAATACACGCGCATCCACGTGAACTCAATCGGCAGCAAGCCTCCGATGACGCAGCGTGGTTTTTTGATCGGTTGACCAACGAGAAGGCCTTGATCGACCCAAGATTCTCCCGAACCGAGGATTGGAAGCAATTGGAGTCGTACCAGATGCACGCCCGGTACAACGGCTGTCTCCAACATCCGCCACGAGCTCGGAGTGAACCCTGGGAGGACAAGGCACGCAGACACAGACGGCCAACGATTCGTTCACCCCTTCACCTGACCAGCTCCTGATGGAAAATCCCCACTGATCAGCAACCTGGAGATGGGGGAAGCCGTCGAAGGGAATGAATGGCTGGCTGATCCGCTACCAGACCGGACTTCAGAAGCCCTTGGGTGAGCGATGTGGCCGATGTAAGGCTGCCCACGACTTTGAGTTTCCTCGTGGGCATGAACAAACCACGATAATGTCAGTTGAGCCATGAAGCCCCAGCGTACTTCCGAAAACGGGAAAACGCCCGTTTGGCGATTTTCGGACGAAAGTCTAAATTCTCCCCACGACGGAGATGTATACTGATTCGGAGAGTTGCTGAGTTTAAGCTGCTGCCTCTGCGAATCTCCCCCTCATCTCGGTACAGTTGCTGGACCTGGCGGCCTCAAGAGAACGGTTCAGGAAAAGATTGCTCCATGGTTATCCGGAGGGATACTAGCTCCGCGGAAAATGATCCTCGAGCTGCATTAGTCTGTGTGGGTGTGGGGAGAACCGTTGGGGCTGAAGGGAAATGGCGAGTGGTGATTGCTCGCTGACGGTGATTTGAAATTCCTAGAGTCGAGCTTAACCAATCGAACTACTTTAGTATTAGGATCGTTAGCAGTAGCTTTGGAGGAGATAGTCCGGCTCACTCCTAAACTGAATCAGACACTAGATAGCACGATGGACCAGGACTAACTAGGGAAGTGAACGGACTATTCCCTGTTATTATGCTATGATCTGCAAAGCGGGTCTTCGACTGGGGACGAGGAAATGAAAGTCCAGTAGCACCCATCGGAAGCCCAGACCGAGTCGATGTTGAGATGAGCCGGAGTAGGAGTGACAGCACAGGACGCAGAGTGCATCTACTCTGCGACCGCAAGGCGAGAAGAGGCCATGTGACTCCCTAGCGGACGATCGTGTTGCCAGTTCATTTCCACGTCCCATCCACCTACATCATGATCTTCGCCAGCTTCAAACGTCTGGATTCTCCATCGGGGGGCTCTGGCCGCGATGGGCTGAGAGAAGGATTGGATTACCCGGAGTTTCTTCGGCGCCTATCAGCTTCCGATATTCACCCAGCTTCCGATGAACGCAGCTTGCTGATTTGCTCACCCCGGGCTTTCTCCAGTGAGGGAGGGTCGTCATTCCGAGGAACACCTGATTAACTATCGGGATTAGGGATAGTTGAGGTGGTTAAGACTAAAAGAGAGTAATATGGATGTAACAACAATGACTACACCTTGCATGAGATCATCGTCGATTGTTTGATAACAACCTTTAGGCTCAGGATCAGTCCACGTGCGGATCCGACCGTAGGACACTGGGGACCATTGAGATAGCCCTTGGGATCTTCGCCCTGGCGATGGTGAAACGACCATTCCCCCAAAAGGGTATGCTGGCAGCTGGTCAGGAGTGAAAAGTGACTCTGGCCGTTTGAGACAGACCAACAGACCAACACTGACTGACCAACAGGCTCGGAGGAGTCCAACGAAAGTAGTATAGCCACCGAAAACTCAAAGAAATCAATCCCCTTAAGGCCCTCGAAGAAGGTTTCGGAAACCTTGGATTTCGGATCTCAACATAAGTGCATGTCCGCCAGTCAGAACAGCGTGATTATTGTGTGCACGGTCGCCATTTGTTGGTGGGGAGAGGTAGATGACCTGCTCGAATCATGCTGGAGAAAAGCCGGGGGACTTCTGGGAGGAACATGAGTTGGAAAGCAACCGCTGTCCTCAGACTTGGAGATAGAGAGTAGTAACTTGCAGGGTTTGCTTTCCTTAATCCCTGGGAATTTAGAAAGGTAGGTGGAATTGGGTTTCCTATGCTTTAGCGTCCATATTAAAATTTTAATTAAGACAAGGATTCGAGATATAAATATGAACCAAGCAATCTAACTATAACAGACGGAGTTCACAGCCTGCTTCACACCCAAAGCCTCCCCCGTATTCAGTGATTCACACACAAGTCCACTGCAATTAATCTATCGTAGACTTACCTGTACTATCTATAGCCTTTATCTGTCGCATAGATGCCCGCCATGCGCTCCACTGGGGCTGAGTACAGTATAGTTGTCGACTTCACCGCAAAGAAACTCCATACAAGTGTCAATTTAGCTTACTTCATAGTTAGTACTTACGTGCACTCAGTTGCATTGGCTGTGTCTACTAGTACGTAGTATCTAGGTATCCTGTTGCAGGGAACAGCGGATCTGCCATCCGGTGGGCGAATGACCTTAGACGCAGGTACACACCCTTGCACCGATAGACGCAGGGGCATATTCTACCTGCTAGCTTTTCATTTTTTTTTTTTTTTTTTTTCTTTCGTAATTACTCCGGACCCAGATGCCTGAGTGGTGCACTCACCTCTCCTTGGCCTCCACCCTAGCCAGCCACGGTGACGGGAGCGTGAAAATCATCCGTTCCGAAGGCTCGCAGTCTGCTTTCCCGTCTGTACAAAGCGACTAGACGGGCCTATCGATGCTTGACGGGGTAGCCGACGAGATGCAGTAGTCCTCTTTTCTTCTTCTTCTTCGTCGTCGTCTTCTTCTTCTTCTTCTTGTTTTTCTTTTTCTGAAATCGGCCATCTCCTGTTCGCACGCCCTGAAGACCCGAAATTAAACACCTGCAGAGTGCAGAAGAATTTTACGGTAGACAAACCAGCAACCGAAGGTCAGTGCTCGCTTGTGGAGTGCGTCCTTCGCACGAGGGTGGCAATGTGACCAGTCGTTTGCTGTAATTAATTAGGAACGCATTGTAGCGGGAGGGCTTCGTCCTGATCGCTTGTCAAGGTGCCACACCGTCCCAGGTGGTTGCAGCAGAGCTACGCATCAGGCAATCCCCGAGGTGATGTATCAGAAAACTGTAGGACGCAACCTTATCGGCATTTAATGAAAGGAAGAAGGCCGCAGAACCCGCGCACCAGAGAAGAGTTTAGTGAACGGTTGAGCTGGTTTAAACCCCTCATATTGGGATTGTATCTAGAATGCAGGTGAACCTGGTTGCGCAGAAGGAGGTTGCCTTCTTCGGAGGTGTGTTTTGCAGCTTTGGATTGGGCCGGTCCGAAAGGTGAAATCCGGGCGGGCAAGACAGGACGGCCACAATCCATCGAGGGGAGGGGCCTCGGGAAGATCAGTGGCAGATCCACTCAGTGCAAGATGGATTTGCCCCCCTCTCTGCCTCCCCAGATCAATTTGAGCGTGCGACCTGCTGATGGGGTTTAGACAAGTCGACCGCGGGAGGCGTCTGGAGGGGCAATCTTAGTTTATTTTTCCATCTTGAGACTCGGAGGGGGCAGAGAGAGATTAGTTGGTGAAATCAAAGTGATGATGACAGTAGTAGCGGTAGAAAGTGGTAGTGGTGGAGGAAGAGGAGGAGGATGCTGCTGGCGGGACGGATTGCGCACTTTACTTCCGTCAGGAACTAGGTGGCATTAGTCCGCACACTATTTCCCCCTACATCTCCTGGCACTGCTGGCACTGGCCGCAGTTCAGCACAATCGTCGATAGCGCGTGAACGGGGGAAAATTTGCACTGGCCAGTGCTGCCTAGGCGCGATTTCCCTTCTAGTGTTAGTGGGATTCCGCTGGAAATCGGCCTTTTATCCGAGGCCCTTTACTACCTCCTTGTTTTCGGTCTGGAAACGTGAGCCGAATCTTGAAGCTATGAATGACATCTTTGAAATATTAAGAAGAAAGAGAGTTTCTAACGGCTAGAGTCTGTTTAAGACTTTCACCTGCTCTTACCTGGTCAGGTTTTGATCTTCCGGTTTAAGCGCCGTCAAATGATTTTGATCTACACACAGGGTCTGATGGATGATACTAGGAAGAAAGCGGCATATTTACCGAAATGCAAAGTTATTACATAGTAGTTATCATCTTCAATGACTTACTTAGTCACAGCTCGTGTCGGAAGAGACGCATGTACGATTCCTTTTTGCTGCAGCAGTGGGCGAGGGCTCGACCCAGCTGTAAGATTATCATCGCCCCTTGGGTATGTACTTTGGTCCGTGTGTAGGTTCATACTTAGTATTTTCCAGCTGCAGAAAATCTCGACTATGCATTGTGACTGCCGAGATCGATGCGGCCATGTATGCACGCAGATAATTGCTTCTGGACCTTCAGCTCCTCCCGAACAGCTCGGAAGGAGAAAGAAGAAAGAAGACAGATACTAGCACGTAACCCAGCAGAAATCTGTTGCATCGAACTGAAGATGCAGGAAAAGCATGATCATACTGAGAGTTTCTGCCGATGTTGCCTCCTGTTGGGCGTACTTTTTCTGCGTGCTGGCTTGCTCTGCGGCTGAGGAGAAACATTCTGCTGCCGATTTACTTCCCGTGACCACACTTCGCCCCATCTGCGGCGATGGACCATAATTTGACAAAGAACGGGTGAGGGGGAAACGAGACGAGTGGCCACAGACAGCACCTCCTCCTGCTTTGTCGGGTTCCAGTCAACGACTTGACCCGACCCAGAACTTAAAAGGGAACCTGTCAAAACTGGATTCGGCCAACATGCCCGCGGCATCCCACGGAGATACAACACCCTCGGTAACGTCCGGAAGATGGCATTTGCTGCAGAACGTAAGTAGACGAAAGATAACGTACCAGCGAAATGATTGATGATAACGAAAGGTTGAAGAGAAAGGGAAAAAGAAATCCTGACCTCATGAGAGAGAAATAATCGATAGGTAGTAGACCTAGCTGGCGGGTACCCCAATTTGACGAGTATTATAACATGAGTTACAAGAATCAGTTGGTATTTACCAATCAACTCCCCCGGAAACCCTCACTGAGGGGGCAGTATTTACATCTAAAATACAAGATACAAATGATGTACCTCATGTGGGATGACTTGATAGTCTCTTGAGGCATAAACCCACCACTAACTGCACTGGCTACAACAACCCTTGGGGTGGTTCGAATTGATCGAGGGAATTTCCGATCCAATGAGTCAAAAGCACCGATCATTGACAGTAAGTAGTAACCAGCATCAGCTGGATCCCCCAAGTTTCATCAGCGGCGCGATCGGAGAAGATACCAATCAGCTCGTGCTGAACCAAGGTACCAAATGTCGCATCACTGCGCATGGCATTGCATGGCATTGCAGCTCGCGCCCCTCGTAGCTCTCTTGACAATTCCCGATGCACCTGCACCTACAGGTGTAGTAGGGATTGTAGCAAGGTACTAGGTAAGCAACTAAGGATCCTGGCCTGTGCCGGATCTCATCTACATCTATTCCGCCCGCACTACTTTAGTTCTATCTGCGACATCCTCTCCGGTAGGTAAAGTGTAGTAGTACGTAGATACTACTACTACTACTACTACTACTACTACTACCTCTTAGGCTGTTATCCAGGCCAGTGTATATTTAGTTTAGTGGGCAGGGTGAATTTGATTTCCCTCTCCGGATCCGTTGCCTCTTTCACAGTCACCTGCTTTCCAAAACAGGCAGTTCGACAGATGCGCCAAGTTCTCGACCCAGTTTAGACTCCTGATCGGAAGGAGAGATCCTCCTTTAGGGCCACTAAGTCGCGCACTAAAGTACGGCGCACTAGGTACGGTAAGGCCAGGAGTGACTAAGGACGAAAGGACTAACTAACTACTACTAGAGAGATCGCCCGCGATGGCGAACGAGGTGCCTACTGTCCCCGCGGTCTGGATTTGTGTTTGTTGGGTGTTTAGGAACGTGGGCATCACCCATCCATGATCTCAGTATCCGTTAATTTCCCTCCCTCAGCGGTTTCCCACCCCCGCCTCCCCCCTCCTTTCTTCTTGATCCCAGCAGGAGATTGGGTTTGTTTGATCGGACCATCAATGCCAAAATGGGAGTACCTCCATTGTGCAATTTTTAAGACTAGATCGATCTGAGTTCTGAAAGAGTTGAGGGGCAAATAGAGATACGCGCAACAGGCTAAACGTAGAAATAAAAATAAATTAGAAAAGTAATAATTCTAGTAAATTAATTTAAAAGTTGCAGAGCGAAGTGTGAAAAAGGAAAAAGCAAAGTGCCAGGGGGAGGCGATTGAAGGGAGCCGTCAGTTTGACATGGAGCAAGGGAGAACGGAAGAACCTACTTAGTCGTGGTAAGTAGTAGTTTAGTGAAGGATGTATAAGTCAACTGGCACTATTGACGGGATGACAACCAAGCAGTCCAATGAGAACAATGCGTTGCGGAGCAAGACGGGGCAGAAAGGAGGGGCCAAAGGACCCAACTGCAGCAGGAAGACTCAAAGAGAAAGAGAGCAAAAGGAAGTAAGCAGGTGACATGAACTGACTGACAAGATATCCCGCGATTAACTACTAGGTACTGATTTAGTCTACATTGGAGAAAGATGATCCATCAGGTTCCATTATTTTATTGATTTATTATTATAATTATTATTATCATGATCTCATTTCTTATTTCATTCTTGCGCAGTGTAAAATTTAGAAGTATTGATACTGTAATATTGTGCCCACATCGATAAGAAGAAGGCAGCGATGGGGGCGCTCTCCAACAATGGTTTTGGGTACCTGATCCATGAACGCCTACCACGGGTTATCGGATAAGTGAGATAGAGAAAGAATAGGAAAGGAAGATAGAAGATAGGAGATCGAATGGTACAAACCGGGCCAGCGCGTGCCATAGCCAGTGCCGGTGGTTACAGAGATAGGTGAATCTTACTTTTCTTCCTCTTTTCGACGCAAAGAAGAGCCAATTGTCTCGCCTCCGGGGTATTTCCCCCTTCCATTCATTTGCCATCGTCGTCCTCCACGGTTGTAATGGCTGGCGTGAATTGCGCGCGCACTTTCGCCTTTGGTTGCTTCTCCAAATCATGACCCGGGGATCGACGGAAAGCTTACTTCAGGGCTCCAACCCAAGACCATGGAAAAAGCGCTCCTGGATTAAACCTGAATGACAGGACCCGAGACAATGGGCGTACCACCAGCAGCAAAAGCAGCTAAAAAGTCCGGCCGAAAGGGGACTCCACTCAGTTCTTGCCCAATGGGGCCGCATGGCCGATGCCGTTCCCTGGCCATCGTCGATCTCCCATGCGTTCGTTCTCTCTGGCTGGCTGTTTTTCCCTTTTTCCTTTTTCTTTTTCTGTTTTTTTATTTTTCTATTTTTCTTTTTTTTTTCTTTTTTGCTGGGGAGGCGCACGAGCGTCCGTCGCTATCGCTCATGGAGTACCTTTTCCTGGACCCATCCATTCTTTCTTGCACCATCCAGTGTCCCATATCCACTCTTTTTCAGGGCTCCACTTCTGCCTCCCTCCTGCATTCACTCACTCACCTCACTCACTCACTCACACTCTCTTCCCTCATTGTTCCCCCCTCATCCACTCTCATTTCTCTCTTCCATGGAGTCTAAAGCCCCGTAGGCTGGAGCGATGGCGTCTTTCTCCAGCGTGGGTCCCTATCCACACCCACTTCATTCATTCCCTCCGTACTTCCTCTCCTCCTACTCCTAGTAGCAACCTTAGTGTGTACCTGGGGGGATTTCCCACTGGTCCTTTCTCTCTATTGGGTACTTTGCTCCGGACCCTCTTCCTCTTCCTACATGGAACACAAACCCCCCCGACTACGGAGTACATATATCCTGAGATCCTCCCCGATCATCCTACTATATCATCCCTGATCTTCCTCTTCCCTATCTCATCTGTGTATATCATCTACCTTCTCTCTTCTCATAAGGCCTCTCAAGTGTCTTCTCTCTCCGTCCCTCTTTTCTTTTTTTTACTCTACACGGTTCAACCAGTCATTGAACCTTAAGAGTTCTGAGGCCTCACCTCTCTCTCTCATCTTCATACTTCAGTATCCTTCTCTCCTTCCCAGCTCCAAAACTTACATCTTCAACAAGAAGTAACCGAATATGAAGAACTCAATCCCATCTGACGTGTGGGAGAGGAAGAAGGCTCTAATTGCCAAGTTATACAAGGATGAAGAATGGCCTTTGAAGCAGGTCATCAAGCAAATCCGTTCCGATGATTTCAACCCAAGGTGAGAAGAGGTTCTCGGAATTATCTCAAATGGGTTTCCACCGGTGTGCTAACTCTGCCTCCAAGTGAGACTCAGCTGCGGAGTAGATTGAAGAAGTGGAGGGTCACCAAGCCCTCTCGCCAGACACGCAAGAAATCCGACGACAGCCAACAGGAGACTACCGGAGATGACAGTGGTCAAGAAGATGCATCCCCAAAGGCCCAGTCTTCCACAGTCTCCCCCAAAGCACGCCCCCCTCTTCGCTCAGTCGCATCAGACATCTCTGTCACCGAACCGGAATGGTACATGGCCAATAGTGCATACACGCACCACGAGGACCTGCCTACTACAGTTTGCCTTGATGGACAAAACATCTCCAATGTGTGGGCTCCCATGATGAGCCCTTCCCAGAAGCAGCGGGATCCTTCCCACGCCTCTTCCGTGATGGTCCTTCCTAGCTCCAACTCATATGACTCACCGCACACGTCGCCATTGATGGACGGCATGTTGGCCAACCAAACATCAAGCATGGCGTCGCCTTTCCATGATCCTTCCTTTGCTGTCACCACGGACTGCATGCAAACACCCGCGACAACAGCTGGACCAATCCAGTGGTCAATCCCTCAGTGGTACTCGATGCCTCTTGAGGCTGGCAGTCCATTCTACACTGCGGCACCACTGAGCCCTCCTATCGATCCCGCCATGCACCTGATGACACCACACGCCCAGACACCGCCGCCTTCTAGTATTGGGCGGCAACATATGGCCGACCTGCACGAGGGGCCTCAGTCATGGAAGCGTGCTATGTCTGCTCCGTATGTTCAGGATACCGCTGGCGGGCATCCGAGATTGGATCAGAAGGGCTCGCAAATACGGCCGCTTGACCGGAAGGCTTCTATTCAACCGAAGTCGGCTGGTCAACCCGCCATGGGGATCGTGTCTCCGTCCGCTTTCTATCCCCATGGCCAACATCCTGCTATGTGTGCGCCCCTCTACCCGTATCCTGGACCTGAGCCACTTGTGCACAGGCCTCAGAGCATCGACTTTTAAGCATTACCAGGAGCACGTCGCTTTATTTGTGTGAAACTAATATTTTCTCATACTGGACCCTTGGTTTGCACACATTGGTCTAGCCACCTTGACACCTTTTTGGGGTTGATCTATTCTTCTCACTTGTACTTTTTGCCTCTCATCTTTGCTGTTCACTTGAACCCTCTTCTTCTCTTTGCTTGGACGCTGGAAAGGAGCGGGGATATCTGAACATTACATTGTGTACACCAAGGGAACCGGCACTTGGATCATGGGATACCTGGCGTATTGTGGTTGTGCCGAATCATGGAGTGGAGTGTGCTGGTTTTGATGATATCCACGTTTGGGATCAAGGAGTTTGGAATTTTCTGTATTATTTTCCTTTGTCAGTCTATGTGTGCATGGGGTTAATGATGCTTATACGGGCTATATCATATATATTGATGGCCAGATCGACTGGACGATCGGCCAATGAAGGACTGGTTCCCTCATACATGCCAAATATTTTATTATACAAGGGCGCACACACCGGCCTCCCACATTAGTTATATAAAGTCAACTTAACAATATAATCCCTTTATCTATCAACCGACGATTTCTGGGCTCATGCGGTAGAGGAAGGCAAAAGTAACTTGCCTAGGTACCGAATGGGGGAGTTTCCTGTCAGTTATCCGACGACGGACCTCGGCTCAACCCCCGGTGTGGGGAAAGCTTCCCCCCCTTTGGGTCCCATCGGACCAAATGGATTTGTCCTGACCCCAAATCGAGACCGCAACTCCAACACAATCAATAGCCCCATTCCAAGACAGTCCACTCTCACCCACCCACTCACTCACCGTCTTTCTTTGCACTATTCCTACATTGCAGTTGTCCAGCTTCACCGAAAGAAACAGCACGGCCACCATTCAGTCGTCAGCATGCGAGCCATTCAAGTAAAAGAATATGTCAAGGTCGGTAACAACGAAGTGACCTATACTAGATTTGCCACCGCTCTACCACGGACAAATTGACTGACTCCCACAACACATAGGGACCTCAGGATCTCCAAGTCGCAACCCTTCCCACGCCTTCCCCATCCGCAACGGAGTACCTGATTGAGATCCACTCCGCAGGTACAAATTTCTTCGACCTGCTTCAAATCCAGGGCAAGTACCAACACCAGCCTCCACTACCCTGGATTGGGGGCGCAGAGTTCGCAGGTACCATCCTAGCCGCGCCAACTAAAGCGCAGTCCCCGCGATTCAAAGTCGGGGACCGAGTCTTTGGCGCCACACAAGGCGCCTACGCTACCCATATCCTTGCCTCAGAGCACACTCTCCTCCCTGTGCCGGCAGGCTGGAGCTTCGAGGATGCAGCAGGCCTCTTTGTCACGGCTCCTACCTCATACGGTGGTCTTGTGCACCGCGCAAACGTCCAGCCGGGTGACTGGGTCCTTGTGCATGCGGCGGCCGGTGGCGTCGGGTTAGCCGCGGTGCAGATTGCCAAAGCTAAGGGGGCGACGGTGATTGCAACGGCCGGGACGGAGCGGAAGCGACAGATTGCGCGCCAATTCGGGGCGGATCATGTCATTGATTATCGGGAGAAGAGCTGGCCGGAGGAGGTGAAGCGATTGTGTGCGCAACATCGCTCGGGGAATGGGAAGGCCGGGGTGGACATCGTATATGATCCGGTCGGGATGATCGAGGCGAGCCTGAAGTGTGTGGCGTGGAATGCACGCCTTTTGGTTATTGGCTTTGCAGCGGGAAAGATCGAGAAGGTCGCGCTGAATCGTGTGTTGCTGAAAAATGTCAGTTTGGTTGGATTGCATTGGGGCCAGTATGCACGGTTTGAGAAGGAGACGGTACAGACGGTTTGGAAGGGGATCTTCGATCTTGTGGCGCAGGGCAAGTTCAAGGGTACGGCCTTTAAGGACGAGAGCTTTGTAGGATTGGAGAGCGTGTCACGCGCGCTGCAGGCGCTGGGTGGCCGGGAGACATGGGGGAAGGTGGTGGTGAAGATCATCGACGATGATGCTATTGCTGGAAAGAGTAAACTATAGAGTAGATACTAAAGCCTCTGGACTAGGCACTAGGTAACACGGATTACATGAAGGATTGGAAGTGCCTCTCATTCAGCAGTAATCAATTCGCATTAGAGGATAACAAGCGGAACGAATCTATCTAGATCAAAAGATACTATTACGCCAAGTATGTAGGTGCGCAAGGAGTCATGCTCTCGTAGCAAGGTTTAAACGCGAGCAACATGAACTATGAAGGCCCTAAGAAATTTCTCTAGCAACCTGAAAAAAGAAATCAAAACCGGAACCCCGAAGGGTCCCGACAATCCAGCTCCAGTCGGCCACAGTCACAAGACGTGACATGCGATGACTGTTCTCCGAAATGGAGAGTCCTTGACGGAAGCTCAAGCACTCTGTTTGTCCAGCCCGAAGGCTGTGAACAGAGCTAACAACCTGGGACAGCTGGATTGCAAAGTTGCGATAGGGTGCCGATTCTCTTTCGATATGTGTGTTGGCGGTATTCCGTACATGCAGCGCGATGGATCTTCATTAGATGAAGCAGAAAAGGTGACCTAGCAGATTATAAGTCTCAATTACTGCTGTCCAGCGTATTTGGCACTGCAGACTGCCGTTGATGTGGCTCTGACGGTGGGTGAATCGATTATCGGCTGAGCAGATGAAAAACAGAAGAAGCCGGCGCGCACGTGCTTGCTTTTTGTAGGCTCGCTTACTTAGCGATGAGTCATCCTTACTTTGCTTTTCTTATCGACATGTGACTTGATATGACCGATAAGCATGATAAGGAGCCCATCCATTAACAGACAGCATCGCAACATATGCACCTTTCGCATCAATTCTTGGCTTAGCTTGTCCTTGGGCCCCTGATGTGGCTTGCCCAAAATGGACACTGATTGGATATTGAAAAGGCACGATACCATTATACCGTGTATGCGACAAGGCCTTGTGAACAAGGATGGTGGTGCCATCGTCCGAGATGCCCGTGGAACAATCGATTGCGCTCGTTTTCATCGACAATGAACTGGCTTTTCACTTCAGAAGAGTGAGTGTAAGCATACAGATAGAGGGTTTACTATTGGAAGCCCATATTGCATCAATGCCCCTGAGTATAAGGCGGATGGGTCCTTTGACGTTGCCAGCACCAGCTCACGGCAATCGCCGCTACGTCATAGCCGTATCAGCGTCATCTTAATCTAATTGCTCCACCAGAGTTTCCTCTCAGGCCCTGACTACGCTGCGTCTTCACTCGGCTTACCGGTTTTCCGGCTGTCCGATAAACAGGCTTACATTGGGGAGACTTTCAGGGTATAAGAATCCGCTCTATCGCCAGGGATCACCCGGCGCCCCCTTAAGAAACAGCCAAACGCAGCTAGTCTTGACCCCTCTCTCATTCAATGGCTCGTTTTCTCCTGAGACTTAAACCCAACCCACCATTTTCCACTTTTTCGCTGCAGCGCCATACATCTCTCACGTCGGTTGCGAGAATGTCTACATCGTCGAAATCTTCCAAGTTCAGTCAACTTCCTCGGGCCTCGTCTGGACCTTTGGTGTGCCCGTTTGAGGTACGGTCCCCTGAGAGGGTTATGGGTAGTTTGATTGTTGACGCAGATGTAGGGGAGAGATGCGCTGCAGTCATGCCAGTTCAACAAAGGCTCGGCGTTCACGGAGGAGGAGCGCAGAACATTCAAACTTCATGGTCTACTTCCTCCCAATATCCAGACCCTCGAGGAGCAGGTTCAGCGGGCGTACGAGCAATATAGCAGTCGAGATAATGATCTGGCCAAGAACACGTTCATGGCTAGTATGAAGGCTCAGAATGAGGTCCTCTACTACAAGGTAACATATATATTGACCTCCCGCGTGTGTTTAGACAGCGAACTAACGTATATTAAAGTTGATTGATACCCATCTCAAGGAGATGCTTAGCATAATTTACACTCCCACTGAAGGCGATGCAATCCAAAACTATTCTCGACTGTTCCGGAAGCCAGAGGGCTGTTTCCTGAACATCAGGGACCAGGACAGGATTGACGAATGCCTTTCCAATTTCAGTCGCGGCGAGGAAGTCGACTATATAGTCGTCAGCGATGGCGAGGAGGTAAGTTGGACATCAGCATGCACTCAATGTACGACATGTCTAACCAGTCACAGATTTTAGGAATTGGTGACCAAGGCGTTGGCGCCATCTTGATCTCGGTTGCCAAATTGGCCCTTACCACGTTGTGTGCTGGGATACATCCAAGTCGGCAATTGCCGGTGGTCCTAGACTGCGGTACAGATGTATGGCAGCAACAAGTATCAATCGGGCAGGTGCTAATCATTGATTACAGAATGAATCACTTCTCAAGGACGAGCTATACCTGGGCCTGCGACAGTCGCGCGTTAGAGGTGAGGAATATGACCAATTCGTGGAGAAGTTTGTAGAAACGGCTCGAAAGAGGTTCCCCCGTGCATATATACACTTGTGAGTAGTCAAAGTTCTATAGGAAATCCCGCAGCCATCCATCTTGAGCTTTACTGACGTCATTTAGCGAGGACTTTGGCCTTCATAACGCCAAGAGGATCTTGGATAAGTTCAAATCGCGTATTCCATGCTTCAATGACGATATTCAGGGAACTGGGTGTGTCACTTTGGCTGCCCTGTTATCTGGATTCCACGTGGGTGGTATCAAGTTAGAGGATGCTCGTGTCGTCGTCTTCGGATCTGGATCAGCGGGCACTGGCATCGCGGAGCAGCTCGCCGATACCATCGCGACTGAAACACACAAATCTAAAGAAGAAGCCTCCCAGCAGATATGGTATGGAAATGCATCGGCTTGTGGAGTTCCTTCGACCCTACATTTACTGATTATCTAAACCTAGGTGTCTCGATAAACCGGGTCTCCTGGTCAAATCTCTTGGAGATCAGCTCACGCCAGCCCAAGTACCCTTTGCGCGAGACGACAAAGAGTGGCCTGATGCAAATTCGCGCGATCTGCTTTCGGTAGTGAAGAAGGTGAAGCCGCATGCCTTGATTGGGACATCGACTAAACCAAACTCTTTTACCGAGGAGGTGATCCGGGAAATGGCGAAGCACGTCGACAAGCCAATTGTATTTCCCCTCAGTAACCCGACTCGGCTGCACGAGGCACAGCCTGAGGACATCAATCGTTGGACTGATGGCCGAGCTTTGATAGCCACCGGCAGTCCTTTCCCACCCGTCGATCGCAACGGGGGAAAGTATGAGATAGGTATGTGCATTTCCCACTGCATAGCGAAGATAGGATCATCCCAGCTAATGCCTTGCTCCCTTGATGGTGCAGCGGAATGTAACAACTCGACATGCTTTCCCGGAATCGGATTGGGCGCAGTTCTGTCGCGAACACGAACGTTGTCCAACAAGATGCTTGTGGGTGCAGTCAAGGCATTGGCAGCACGGTCGCCGGCACTGCAGGATCCCGACGGACCACTTCTACCTGACGTCAAGGATGTACGCGAGCTTAGCGTCGACATTGCCAAAGCAATTATTAAGACGGCGGTCGAAGAAGGGCATGCTCAAGAGGAGGGAATTCCCGCGAATGAAGATGAGTTAGAAGAGTGGATTCGGGCACAGATGTGGGAACCCGTGTACAGGCCCCTTGTGAAGCCACAACAACAACAACAACAATGAGGAAAGGTAATATCCGAGAAGGGGGCTGTGCACTCCAAGCCGGGCCAGGCTCGGTTGTTCGGCACCAGGCGGAGTTGATGATGAGGCTCTGTCGGAGGTCATCAGATAACTCATTAGTGGATACATCCCAAATCTTGTTGGAAGACATAAGTATCACAGGATGACCTCTTAGACTCCAGATGATGATTGAATGAATTCAGCCATACGCCATTAGGTGGCGAGGACGAGGCCAAGGAACTAAGCTGCTCGTGTTCAATAAGGCTGTACTACGAAGGCAGATGATAGGAAAGTAAACGCACGAACTGCTGAGTAAGGAAGGCTATTAAGTAACTAGTTTTCCATCGGTAACTAATTAGTCCCTGAATTGGAACTGTTGAATGGGTTTGGGTAGCATTGCCACTCTGAGGCGCAGAGATAGTGGACCCAGGGATCTTACTTTGTATTACCTTCCACTCAGCCACATGTTACCAGGCATCTGAAGATATGCAGGGTCCATTTGATGCCATCCCTCTATTCTCAATACAGCAGAATTCCGAACTCCCACCCTTGTATGTGTGGAGATCAAACCAACGGGGCTGCATGCATAGCGGAAGCTTAATCTGTGGTGGGGAGTTGGTGCTCGGCAAGTCTCCTTTCATCAGCAAAAAACTCCCAGTCTCAATGCTATTGCGCCTTTATCCTTCTCAAACTCTTACTCCGAAAGAATTTCTTTTATCATATATTAATCCTCTCTTGTCCTCCTTGTTCTGGTCTGACGCCTGGATTATTTATTCACCTTCTGCAGCACCAAACAGACAGACGTTACGATAGTCACTGGACCTCGGTTATCGATCTTCTGCAGTGTACCGACTTGCAGCTTGTGTTACTTTGACGAGCACACCTTGCATGGTTGTGTTGGCGTGCAACAAAGATTCTTTTTACTTCACTTACCCCCGCACTATCCAATCTCATCTGTTATGAAGATAATATCAGTTGCCACTGCGCTGGCCCTCTTTCTCATCACCCTTGTCACCGCACTCAGCATTCCGCCTGCAGCCCGAGATGCTACTCTCTCCGCAGATTCTTCATCATTGTTGGATCTAGTTAAGCGGCGTGGTGGCGGTGGCGGGGGAGGGCGCAGTGGAGGAGGAAGTGGTGGTCGAAGTGGTAGTGGAGGGAGCAGCAGCAGTAGTAGTAGCAGCAGCAGCAGCAGTGGACGCACAGAGAACAGCGGAAGTAGTGGAAGTAGCTCAAGAACCAGGTGAGTAAACGTCAGTTGATTGGAAAGAGAAGACATTGAGGCTAACAAGCTCCGCCAGCTCTTCAAGCAATGTCGGGGGCACATCTCGCAGTGGTTCTGGAACCCGTCCGGCGTATGGAGGTGGCTACTACTACGCAGGCGGTGCCACTGCCCCTTATACAGCAGGGGCACGATCACGTTTGGGGGTGTCGCCTTTTCTCTTGCCAGCGGCCATTGTCCCTCTCTACTTCCCGGGCCTTTGGTTATATGGGGCATACGTCTACCCTTACAGCTATCACTACCACTATATGAACAATACCTCGCACAAAAACGAGACATTACCCGTGAACTGCATTTGCCAACAGTACTTGGAATGTGGATGCGATGAAAATAGTAACAGCACTTACTATGAATCCTTATTCAATGGAACTCAACCTAGGAATACGAGCGTGGCCAAGGTGGTTGATGTGAACGGCACGGAATCAATCTATATCAACGGCACCCTGGCCAACGGGACGACTGCCGCCGATTCGGCTGCAACTCACTTTGGTGTTCATGGATCTGGATATTGGATGATGGTGGCCGTGGTGGTGGGCATTGTATGGACGTAGTTTGTCCTGCACTTACTAGAGACGAGTAAGATGCCCCCAACCGACCACGTCATTTTTAAACCTTTATTATGTCATTCCTTCATTGGACTGCGCTCTATTCATCACTATAATAGTTTTTAGACGATCCGACAGCAGAAGATACCCACGTGCTTGGCGTTGTGAAGTTAGAAGAACGGCTATTAACATCATTTTGTCTCATTCCATTCCATTCCATTTTGATGTTCTTGGTGGCTTTGCAGAGCCCAGGTCGGACTCCACTTGCAACAGATTAATTAAATTGTGTTTCCCTTGAACCCCCACCCTCGATCCTGCACTCATCATCCCCAATCATAGCTTTCATCCACGTCAGTTTCGATCTTTTGCCACGAAAGCACCTGATGATCTTGCCTTTCCCACGGGTCAAGGGATGAGTTTAAAGGTTAATTACGCAGAACCGTTACAGCCTCTCCACCGGGATCGTCATCTCAGCCATGCATATACATCGCCATCCTGATTGAGCTGGCCACGTTTCAAGGGCCTCCCGCAACAAGGGTCTAGAAGCTCGTCTTCAAGGCCCAGATATGCAATCTTTTCACGCCTCATTCGGGTTTCATCCGCCACCCAATGATCTGGACGTGTCTCCCTGCTGACCGGATCCACTGGCGATGACCCTCCCTCCAAAGTACGTAGCAAAAGTGGGCACGGCAGGCTGCCCCATCAGACATCTGTCAGATCTGACTCCTCCTTTCTTCCCCTTGGCAGCTCCATTGTCTCTCAATTCAACCCGTCTGTCTTGTCTCTTTCCCCCTATTCTTCTTCTTCGCACCTTCTTCTTAAGCATTTCTAACTGGAGTTCACCAGCTGCGCTGTCGCTCCTCCTTCATACATACGCAAATCACCAGAGCTGCCACTCTTTCCAGCTCCATTCGCTCTTTAGACTTTCTCAAAAGCATCAATCACTATTTGTCGTCTCTACCAAGGTTCCATAGAGCGCCTGTGCTTTCCAACGCTATATAAACATCAACATCAATACTTCAGCCTGGTTCCAAGTGCATACTACACGTCCGCGTGGCATATCGATCCCAGTCGGCGTTCTGATTCGCAAACCATATACATACGCAGCCAATAAGATGTATCTCTCCAAGGTTCTTCTCTTTACCGGTGCGGCCTTCGCCCCGTTCGCCTCTGCTGCGGTGCAGGCTGTACCTACAGAAACACCTGTGCCCGTCTCAAGCACGCAGGTCGCATCCACGCCGCTGGCACCAACTCCGACCTCCATCTCGTCCAGCCCCCTTCATACAGCCAGCAGCAGTATTGTCATCAGCAGCAGCAGTAGTAGCGCCAGATTTCATCCCAGCTCTTCTGCTTCGCCAAGCCATATGGCAAGTTCTAGCCGTCGTGTCTCTAGCTCCGCCATTTCCAGCTCCGCCATTGCCAGCTCCTCAGCTTCTTTCACCAGGTCATACATCACCAAGGCATCAGCTCGCCCGACCACCACGACATCGACCGACGCGGACTCAAAATCGAAGTCAAACTCTGGTTCGGACTCCGAATCCGCTACTGCGGCTGCAGCATCTGCTACTCACTCGGGCGCCGCCGCTCCGGTCGTCCAGCTTTCTGGAGGTATGGCTGCTGGGGTCCTCGCTGCTGCAGGATTTATCATGCTCTAAGACACTCTGAGTGGACTGCTATCTTATGGTCATGCCTCCCAGGCAATACCAGGGTGGTGTGGATAGCTGTCTGCACTAAGTTCGAGAAGCAGAGGGTGATGTGGCAATGAGAAAGGAACTCTTAACGACAACCCGCTGAGAAGAAGCATCCCATATATGTACTATCGACAACTATGATTTTGAGCTCTCCTTTCGGACAGTAGTTCCCTCTTGTGTGTTCTCTTTTCATCGTGTTTTTGATCCATCAAGCCTTGCATATGTCCATTCAACGGGTCGGCAGCATTTGCTCATCTGTCTGATTTGTGACATTAGTACCTTGCACATTCTTTATTTCCAAATTCATGCAAATGCTTATAATTGACTTATCCCCCCCCTCTCTTATCTTTTCCTTCTTCCCCTTACTGGAATGCACATAAGTATCTCGGTAATGTTGCTTCTTCCAGCTCTCTGTGAGGCTTCAATCTGCAATGACGTAGCGAAGTAGGAACTCAACAGTCCGCGGGCAACGTTGAGTCTTGCCTCAGTCCAGCAATGTTTGCTTAATCCATCTTTGAGGCTGGGCTTATCTAATCTCTTCCCAGACTGCACCACCCTGCACTTCGTCTATGCTCTGTCTTACGCTGTAAAATCTTTTATGGTACTATCCCTGCTGCTCCGTTACACGTCTGAAGAAGGATCAGAAACGTCCATATAGCAAACGTGAAGAGGAAGACACTGCTGGGAACTGTCATAGACCTCCCTTCCTTTGACTCGACCAAGGCCAGCATGCTTTTACATAATAGCCAGGAATTATACAGCGGAATAAAGAGGAAGTGGGGCTGACAGGTTACAATCGCATCATTGCGACCAATATCTGATTCATATGAACGAAGACAAGACACGAAATGCAGCTGGGATAATATACAGGTGAGAAAATATGGGAGATGCGGGGTAGAGGACAGAGACAGAGAAGGCAAAGAGGGGACGGTAATAAAATATCGAGTTACATCAGGAACAGGCATACCCTCCAGACTTGAAACTATTGATCCTTGAAAGTCGCCTCGTACCTCTTTCCTCGGAAAGCCCAAAGACCCCAGTTACCGCAGGACACGTCATGGGGATCCAGATCGTTGAGATCCCAGCGCAAACTGCGGAAAACGTTCTCACCGGGTTCGAGCAGAATGTCGAATTCACCGGCACACTTCTCGTTGACCCAGTTGATGTCACGTTCCATATCCCACTGCGTGTAGCCTGTGCTGATGATGGGGACCTTGGTCTCGAGGAGCTGCGGGAGCGTTTCCTCCCATTCGTGGGAGCTGGCCGGGTGTCCCAGACCCGGGTGGAAGAGCATGAAGCAGTCCAGATAAGGATCGAAGGGCTGGAAGTACTGCGCTTTGTACATTGTGTGGAAGTAATCAACGTACGTGGTAATCTTGAACTGTCCTCCAAGTCTGTCCTCCACAATACCACCGAAGGGATTCTCGGAGGTGCGCTCGGGTAGTGGGAATTCATCATCCCGGTTGGCCATACTCTCCGGTCCGATGAAGATCAAATGGATCAGGGAGCGCGGGAAAATGTAGCTAAGTTGAAGCCAAACTTCGCGCGGCAACGAGGACTCGGCGCGAGCTCCCAAAATGAATATGCGCACGGGAGGAGCCTTGAGTCGTAGTCCTTGGATGTCGACGCCCTCGCCGGTCTTGGGAGGGTGAAGGGTGTACCGGAGCGCTAAATAAAGCAAATAGGTTAGTTGACGAACCTACAAGACTAGAGAGAGGGGGGGGAGGGGGATTGCAACTTACCGCTAACACTCTTGAGACCCTCCACGGTAAGCCTGCCATCTTTCCGGACATTGTAAGGACTCAGCTCATGCAAAACACTTCCAATTGTGAGAGGGTAGGTGAGCATTCTCGTTACTTGTCGCATGCTTCGATCATCGTTGATCGCTTCGAATTCTCGTGTGTACAGGAAAGTGTCCCAATTCGTCATGTTAATGACGAAGTTATCGTCCTGCAGTCCGGGGTACGAGAACTCCGGGAAAAACCGTCCGGAGTGTAGATCATGATCGTCTTCATTGATCTGTCGAATTGTCTCACAGATCTCCAGATGGGCCTCGAAATCATCCATCCAATGGCCCTCGGAGCAGTAAATCGGAACACCGCAGTCGGGACATTCGAAATGAGAGTGCGCGGGAGGCAGACTCTCCGAGGTCACCTGGCTCTTGCGCGATTCGGGATCGTGGGGGGACAGGGGCAAACGAGTCTGCTGATGGCTCGGATGGGGGCAGAAGGCGTTCTGCTTGATAAAAGCCGCACGCTGTCGGATTGCAGCTGCTGGAGACTGGGAGAAGGAGTGAAACAGGTTGTTCGGCTTCAGAAGTGCCCGGGCCTCTGGCGAGGCGGCAGATGTGGCAGATGTGGCCTTCTGTACAATCGACTTGACATTTTGCGATACAATTGAGGAGGCCGACAAATTGGACGATAGACTATTCTGTCGGACTGGGGCTTGTAGAGGCCTGGACTTAAAGGAAGCACTGCTCCGAGAGCTCAAGCTCCGCACGCACGAAGCGGGAAAGCCGTATCCCCCTCGCCTTGGACTGGCGACTTGATGCCAGCGAGCCACAGAGTTCTGGGCAACAGCCCTTCGCCGGAGCACCTGCAGACAGCGTCCACAAGTATATTCGCCGGTCATTGTGGGTGCAACGCGACGCTTGAACAGGACTCTTGCAGTAAAAAGTGGCTTGATTCTCCCACGCGGCGGCGGTCCTTTTCGCCCGCGTGCACGTGATTGCACCCGGCCGGTCCCCAGAATTAGTACCTTAGTTACGAGGGAGTAAAACTAAAAAGATGAATAAGAGCAAAAGGCACGGATCCATTGGGTTCTAATCACATAGGTAGAGACAGCCCGTTTGCGAACCCCCCCCCCCCCCCCAAGTCAAACAGTACCAAGTTAGAAGATGTCCTCGCAGGCGCTCCAGTCGCCGCTCTCGCGACTCGTCCAGTATTGTCCGTTGTGTGCCCAATACTCTTCACCGGTGACCGGGCACTTGGCCCTACTGAACCATTTGGGCTTATACTCCTCGCCCTTCGTCTCTCTTTCTCTCCTCTTGGCGCGCTGCTTCTCCTCCACTCGATGTTTCTCCGTGGCGGCTAAATCATACTCACCCTCCTCCATCGCACGCTGATCGGGTCGAAGTCGTGTGTCGGTAGGTGGGAGACACTCCTTGAGCCCTTCAGGCAAAGCGTTTAGAGTGATGACGAATGGTGTGAGGTTGAATGGAATCCCGCTCGGCCGATCATGGCTTTGCCAGACCAGGAATGTCTTGGCCGATTCAGGATCCTGGCCGGAAACTGTCGCCTCGAACCCTGGGGTATG